TTTCCTTATTTACTGTATTATTTTAATATTTTATCATGAGTATGTGCTTTCTTTGCAAAAATAGCATCCATCATCTAGAGAGCTAACTAGTAGCAGCTACAATTCTAAAGTTCCAATTGCTTAAGGACATAATGGTCATTCAAGTATCTTTGTCTTCTAGAACCTGTGAAAAATCTCTCATTTCAAAAGTGGACATCAGTTCTAGAATAATTAGAAAATTAATGCCATAATTATACTGTATCCAGATTCATCTGTCTTCACGCTCAATTCCAATAATTCATAGGCATTGAAATCCATCCTCACAGCTTGGTTTTGAAGCACATGCGACATCTCCACTTTGTGTGCAGTGTCATACAGGGGATTGCTCTTCTCCATATAGCTGGCATAGGGCTGCATTTCATCCTCCTCACAATCTTGAGTCCTTTTTGCTTGTGTTGGTTTACATTTTCTGCAGGTGGTGGTTTTGAAAATACAAATATGTAAAATGGTGATGATCAAAATAGCAAAGATAGGAAGACTGATATATTGAGTACTGGAGACGCCTTTAGAGTTTTCATCTCAGCCCCGCTTGGTGGTCCACATGGAGAGAGGGGGAAGGAAAGGAGGACAAGGGGAAAGGGAAACGGGAGGAGAGGGAGCCCAGGAGAGGTCAAGGGAGGAGCCGAGAGGGGGAGAAGGAGGAGAGAGTCCATAATTTCATTTCTAATGAATTACTGGATCCTGGCATCTGAGCATGCCTCTGATGGAAGAACATGCCTTACGAAGCAATCTTGAAAGAAAAAAGTTTTAAAAAAAGGGAAAGAAAAAAGTTAACCCTATGTATAATTAAGCTTACTATAAAGAATTGAGGCGTGTATCATGAGTATGTGTAGTCAGTGGTGACCGGACTATAGGAAGCCACAGGAGCTGAGCTGATTTTTCAAACTTGGCATCAGCCAAAAGTCTATTCCTTTGAGGCAGAGGTCAGACATCCCTTTACCTTCCCACCTTCCTGTTCAACTCTAATCAATCAACCGTCCCTCCCATTACACTCTACTGGGTTCAGTAGTTCATTGCAATGACAACACAGAGCTCACAGACAAAACTTTTGATTATAGGGTATGTTAGGAAAGTTAACAGGTTACAATTCATGACCAGGAATGTTCAGGATACAGTTCTTCAGTCCAGAGTGCATTTTCTCAGCCATGCCCACAGGCATGCTTATCTTTTGGTCCTTCGCCTCTCAGCCACTTGGCCCCTTAACTTCTGCCCTGCTTTGTGTTACAGAATTCTTCTAGTGCTACTTGTATTGGCCAAAAAGCATTCTACTCAACCTTAAAGTAAGTCTCACCCTAAAGATACTCAGCTCTTTAGGTGCTTGGGTTGGCAAACCTAGCTCTTCCCCACCCCCATAAGTGCCTGAGGCACCCTGCACTGCAACTGAGCCTCCTGCCAGAAGGCACTGAGTTTACGGTCTTGGCCTGGAAGCTGTGTTGTGCTCTTGGCATTGCTTTTGAAAAGAAAGATCACATCTGAGCTAACAGTCTAGGTCAGATGGAGCACTGTGTATTTGAAAACTTGATTTCCATGTCTTCCAGAGATGTTTTGGGTGTAAGCCTGTAAGCCATCTAGATTCTGAGGAGAATCACCTTCAGTACAAAATGGATACTGGTTAGGTGGTCAGACATACTTTCACTCAGTGGTGGGATTCACATTATTTATTTACTTACTTATTTGTATTTAATTAACCAAATGGTACACTGTCCTAGTGATCATGATATTGAAAAATGATATCCTGAAAGGTAGTTTACTATTTCATAGTTATACTTAAATAAGAACAATAAAATATGTACATAAAACTAGATTATGTTAGTTTTAAAATAGTAATGAAAAATATTTAATAGCTGAAGAAAAACCCAATAAAACCTATTTTAAATCTTTCCATATTGCATCTTGATTGGCATCCTCACTTGCAGTGTTCTTGGCTTTTATCCGAGCTCCATCAGCTGAGCGCTTTATCCCTACCCTTCTTTTCACTCAGGAGCAGGCTCTCGTTCCTTTAGGCCACGTGGACAGTAGTCACTGCGTTTGGTGGGTCAAACTTCTTCCAGCAGTTGTTCTGACAACAGTTTGAGCTCTTTGAACACTTTAAGGAATCGCATAATTCACTCATAATATCTTGTGGGAGTTTAGGGCCTAACAAAACTTGAAATGAATGACACCATGGCCCCCTCTGGTTGTTTGGTACTTTTTCTCTTCTACATTATGTTTACTGAAGTAGCAAGGGAATAGGAAGTAGTATTGTATCAAAAGAATAATGAATTTTATGAAATGAATAAACATTACAAGCATAGTTTCATCTGATTTTGTATTCCTATGGACGGAATGAACATTACTGCTGGGTGCTTAGAATACGCTGTTGTGTTGTGCAGATAAACATTAAAAAAAAGAGTAAGAAATGTCAATTTTTTACTTTCACATTGGGTAGATGTCCAGCCACCCCCCTAGAACCCTGATTACAAGTGCTATTTTAACAACTGGTTTGCTGAACTTAACAAAAAAAAAAATTAGGTATCAGTTCTGCTGAACCTGGTTCAAACTGACTGAATCCTACCACTGCCACTGCTCTCCAAATTTTCCGCATTTCTGACATCAACTGTCCACAGCACGCTACTTCTCAGTTTGGTTCATAATTCATTGCAATGGCTCTACAACTCCGACAATTCTCAAGATTATGGGGTTTATTAGGGAAGTAACAAGTGTCTCAATTTGGGAGTAACAAAGTACAACTCAGGAAACAGGATATAATTCCTCAGTCAGGACTACTTCCAACCAAGACAGCTCTTGCCTTTTTCTCAGCTGTGCCTGCTGGCAGGCTGCCCTTCTGTTGGCCTCTGCTGTCCCAGGGGCAAGTGTTAAAGCTCTGTAGCGCCAGCTCTGTCACTCCATGGGTATGCCAAACCCACTGCAGCCACTGTTTTGCTGCTGCAGGTCTCAGCTGTAGTTTCATTTTTTTCACTGTGTCACACCATCTCTAGTGTTAGATTCCTTCTGTGTCTAAGGTTCACACCGCAGTAGTCCCAGGTCCACGTGCTCCAAACTCCGGTTGGTGTGTCCTCCTCAACCTCTGGGATTGGTTTTACGTCTTAACATTTGCAAGTTGTGGCCAATCCCATCAGTCCTTGAGAACTGAGCAATTGCCTTCGTAGATCTAAATCACTCAATTTGCTTAGTAATTGACACTGCCAGTCTGTTTGCATAGTAAAATGGCCAGTGCCTGCAAGGTGTGCTAAAAAATTAGACCAAATTTAGGGTCAGAAAAGCCATATACTAGGAGGTTTCATAAGGTTTGTGGAAAATTGGAATTATACGATAATGGAATTAAAAAGAACTCATTGCACTGCAAACACCAACTTTTTAGATGTGCTATTAAACTATCCACAGGCTTGACATTGAAAACCACAATTTGCATTCAGAGGGTTGTCCCCATAATGTTCAGTATATGTTCAGGGTTAAAAGAGGGTCCTTGAAAAATCATCTGCAGATGTTACCCACAGTGTATTCCACATGCTGGTGTTATTTACCCATTAACTATTGACTATAAGCTCTAAGAAAGATACAGTGGCAGGAACGATGACTCCAATTAATAGAAAAATGCTTAGTGTCATCTTTTAGATGAACTAGACTGGAAAATACAGAGGTGTTGTGTTGAATAGTTTGGGGCTCAAAAGAATGCCTCTAATAAAGGATTTTGTTTTGAAATTTTGTTTCTAGTGTGTGTTTAGAAATTAAATATGAAATGAAGAATTTAAATTGCTCCCTTTTTTCCATCTTTACTCATTGCTCCTTCCTCTGTTTTTGGTTTGGAAAGACAGACTAAATTAGAATGGAAGATTAGAGAGTGGTTAGAATTAAGGGAAACATTGTACTTAATGAAAACTGTGATGCCTAATCCATGCATCTGGTTGTAGTTAGCAAACTGGGGCGCTGCCGGATATTTTCACTTTTTAGGGGAAATAGCACCATCTGTTGGACATCATACAGACTACTACTGTCAAGTTGTAGGGCCTTACCTACTCAATGGGAGCCCTGGTAGCTATGTAATTAGGCAGTTAGACAGCCCAGCTGCTCCCTGGGAACTAGATGTCGGCATTCTGTTTCCATTGAGAGTTAGTTCTGGTAATGCTTTAGGGCACTTCTTCTCTGTCCAGTAAGGGCTTAATGAGGCAGGAGTGACTGAGTGGCAAAGGTTGGTTGGTTAGTTTTGGTTGACTTTTTAATAAACAGTAATAGTTTTTGGTATTAGCCTCAATAAGAAATTAACTTACACACAGATCTTTTGCATTGAAGATATTTGACCATTGAGCAATAATGCTACCATCATTCTAAGACAAAGAAAATGACACATAGTCAACGAATGTGGGATGACAAAATAACAATAATTCTTTGTTTTCATTTGCAAAGAGGTAGATTTCATTTTTCAAAAAGGCATTTGATTTAGGCAGTGTTTTCAAATTAAAGGAAGACTCCAAAATGATGATGTGTTCCCAATAATTTTCTCGAGTAGAAGTACAGAGTAGTTGTAGGGCTGATCATGGGGTGAGGCAGGTTGAGGCATTCATCTCAGGAGCATGGAAAGGCTCCATCAAGGCATTATTTCCAGGCAGTATGTAAGAAAGATAACTGTTAACTTTAAAACATCATGGTGAACAAAACTCATTTTGAATCAATACCATCTGACTTAAATTGCATGATTCACCTCATCCTAATGCAGCCTTAAGGGATTATAAAGTAAGCTTTAATAGTCCTAATTATGGAAGAGTTTTTATGGAAAGGATTCTAATATTCAAGAATAAAAGCTGTAATTTTGTACCTCTAGAAAGGGAGAATGAGGAAAATGGGTAGGTGATGGATGAGGGAACAGAAAAGGGCTAAGTTACTAATGGATTCAAGTATCTGATTCTTGTTTTGCATAAAATAGATTCCCCTTTCCTGGAACTATATCTTACTTTTTCTTGTAGCATGGCGGACACCGACTTGTTTATGGAATGTGAGGAGGAGGAGTTAGAACCATGGCAGAAGATCAGTGATGTCATCGAGGACTCTGTAGTTGAAGATTATAATTCAGTGGATAAAACTACTACAGGTAACAAGCTTTTTTTGATTCTGTAAACTTCTACCATGCTTAAATTGATCTGAAGGCCTTTTGGTTAAGAACATATGAGGCAGAGAAGTACTTTAAGAATCTAAGACACAAAGAAACACATATCACTAATAAATGTCCCACGATTTTAACTTTAAAAAAATCCCGAGATGCCGCATTTTTACTGGTGCCACCTTTTCCATGCTCTAGCCTATAAATGCCTCAATTTCCTTATCCACAAAGCCAGAAACAGCATATTTAACTTGCGAAAAACATTGAAAAGTTGGATTGGCCAGTGTTTATTAAACACCTTGCAGCACTCTTATCCAAGGATGTATGAGCACGGTTGCAAAGTGGCAGTGTGTGTCAGCACTCGTTCTTTATGTACTCAGTCAAAATACACTTCCTATAGATTTTTTTTTGTTGTTGTTGTTTTCTTTTTCAAGCTTGAACTTGGTTTCCTCTGTGAGTGGAACGGAAATTGTTTTGTGCTTGCCTTCATGGACAGTTTAGCTTCTCTTTCTTAAAGGTGATGTTGCCAGGTCACATTCTAGATTTCCCTGAATGCAGAAAGTGGGTGGTAGCCCCTCCACCAAATTGTACCAGCTGCTTTCTCTGTATTTTTATCTTCCCTGCCTTGAGACCTGAAGATGGCATTGTTTTAGGCTGAAGCAGGACGGACACAGTGCAAGGTCTGTGGATGGTTTAATGTGGATGGTTATGCATACCAGTTGTGGCGATGAGAATAATAAACCTTTGAGTCCTAGATGTTTGCTAGTGCATTATAAGCAAAACGTTAAAATCCTGGTTCAATGGGCTTGTGTTTTAACTTACCCAGGAAATATGAGACAAAGAAGGGATTGCGTCTAACTGGTGGAGTGAGGGGCAGGTAGGAGGAGAAGCCAGGTGAACAGTTGGATATATGAATAAAACAGGAAACTTTGATGGAAAGGAAAGATGAGAGCAGTATCCTTTAGCACCAACTCTCCCTGTCTCCCAAGTGACTGTGCCTCCCCTTCCCCACAGTTTCTGTGAGCCAGCAGCCAGTCTCGGCTCCAGTGCCCATCGCTGCCCATGCTTCTGTGGCTGGGCACCTCTCTACATCCACCACCGTTAGTAGCAGCGGGGCACAGAACAGCGACAGTGCCAAGAAGACTCTTGTTACACTAATTGCCAACAACAATGGTAAGTGGGATTATTGGTAAATTCTTCCTGGGACAGAGGGATGAGAACATTTTCTTTTTTTTTAATTTTAGGGACAAGAGTACCCGTTATTAGTTAGACTCTGGCGTGGTTTCTACGAATTAGACAGTGTGGTTTCGTAATGATTCTCTGATAGGGTGGTGCTTCAGTAGGTAGTGCAGTTCCTTCTGAGTTAGTTCTGAATTAGATGTTTGTGGCTCAAGTCTGATGGCAGCAGGTTCTTACCTTATGCTTTCTAGGAGGAAAAAGCAGACATCAAAAACTCTAGCCGGTTAATAGGCATGCTTTTGTTTTCATTAGAAGAACCTTACTAGTTTGGTGAGAATTTTCTCAGGGTAGCTTTGTTCTTTATTTCTTGGGCAGAGTCATCTGGTTATCGGTTCCTGGCTTGTGGAAGACAAGCGAGGCTTGTTGGTCCTCAGAAGGAAATGGAGGGAGTAGTCCTCGTGTCACTAATATATTTACTGACCAGAAAGACTATATCGTAAATTGGTTTTTATGTAATTTCTGATCGCTATTTGTACCTTCTGATGATGAATTAATTGGCAAGTTATGTCTCAAAACTCATCACTAAAGCAGGCACCTTCGTAGAATTATTACATTGCTGCAAGGGAGTTTATTTCCTTTTAAATTGTGGTTTTATTTCCTTTTAAATTAAAATAGTTTTATGAATACAAAAACAATTAGCACATTGTAGATAAACTAGCAAACATAATCCCACCACTAGGAGATAACTGCAGTAAAACCCACAAAGGCCGGAACCTATGTAAGGCAGAAGAATCCTGTCAGAGAAGGAAAACTCAAAATATTTTCCACTAAAACATTTCCTTTAGCCTGATAAATACTCTCTGAAAGCTAGACAGAATCAGAAAACCATGGGTATTGCCACCCGGGTACCAGCAAGTGCAGATGTTAAAGCTGAAAATAGTTCCAACAAGTACAGGAGTCAGACATGAAAAGCCAGTCTTCGCTCCGTGTGCGTTGTTACTGGACGCTGCTGCTTTCGCTGACTGTCTATACTTTACAGCTGTGCTAGTTTTTGCGTGTAAATTTTTTTCCAATAAAGAACAACATCCAAAAGTTTGAAAGAAGGTAAGAAAGACTAATACAGTCTTCTGGTTTTTGTTGTTGTATTTTTCATTAAGATAAATAGCAAAACACTTTTTTCCTTGTCTTGAGAGGTTTTACTTTTACCTTTAAGTTTAGTCCTTGCTTTAGCTATTTGTAATTTGATACATGTTACCATGATTTGTCAGAATCTACTTCTTCATTTGCTTGACATTCTTACCTTCAAGATACCTCATTTTGCTCATGAAATGAGCAGCAATTCTTTACTTAATGCATTCAGTGTGTGTACAAAAGGGCGACAGGCTTGTCACACGGTTTTTTTCTCCCTTAAGTATTTTATTGGCATGTGATAACTTACCATATAGCGATGTTGATGGTTTTTTTTTCTCCTTGAGATATTCACGTTTTCAAGAAGATAAGATCATGAATTCCTTAGTTTTTATAAGAACTTACTTCCTTTTTTGTTTCCTTTTTTAAAAAAGCTTATTCCTTCACAGCCACGGACAAGCGAGTGAGAAATTTATCTCTGAAAGAAAAGTTTGACGTTGTCAAAATGATAACCGAAGAGAAAAAGACTGTCAAGGAAGCTGTAATTAAGTTCAAGTGCGGCAAAACGCAAATTTACTCAATCATGAAAGAAAAGGATAAGATAATTGAAAAATACATGAGCAGCAGCAACATAAATGTCAAGAAAGGAAGGGAAGGGAATTATGCTGAAATCAACAAAACGGTCTTTGAGTGGTTTCTTCAAGCTTCTGCCAAAAATGTTCCTGTTTCAGGGCCTATCCTGCAAGCCAAGGCCAAGGAAACGGCGAAACTCTTGAAAGTTGACGGCTTCTCAGCATCCAACGGGTGGCTTCAGAGCTTCAAGAAAAAGCATGGGATCGCTTGCACCGTTGCTTGTGGGGAGTCAACTGAGGCTGACAAAGACGCCATTGAAAACTGGTTCACAAAATTACAAGAGATCATAAGGGGCTACGAGCCTAAGGACATTGCAAATGCCAATGAGACCGCTCTGTTTTACAGGGCACTTCCCAATATGACCCTGAAAATGCAGGGGGAAAAATGTTCGGGGGGCCGGTTTTCAAAAGAGCGCCTCACCGTCCTCTTAACCACTTTTGCAGACGGGACATTTGAGAAACCGTGGGTTATAGGAAAGAACAAGAAACCGCGATGCTTCAAGAACATCGGCATTAACCAGCTCTCCGTAGAATGGAAGTGGAATAAAAATGCTTGGATGACAGGAGGCATTTATGAAGAGTTTTTAAATAAATTCAACAATAGCATGAAAAAGCAAAATCGAAGCATTCTTTTGTTTATTGACAATGCTACTTGTCATCGGCCCCTGCCCCTGTCCAATATTAAATTAATTTTTTTCCCACCCTCCGTGACCGTGGTCCTACAACCTCTGGATAATGGCATTATCCAAAATATTAAAGTAAACTACAGGAAGCTGCTGCTTCAAAAAGTGATTGCCAACATTGAGATGCACAAGATGGCATCGGAGATGTCAGGGGAAATTGATGTCCTTGATGCAATTTCATTTCTTAAAAAATCCATCAGAATGATTAAGGAAGAAACTGTCAGAAAATGCTTTAAAAACTGCGGTTTCGTATTTGGCAGTGGCAATAGTATGCCAGATGAAGCAGTTCTTGAGACTGATAACATCATGCAGATTCAGGATGCAATAAATGACATTTATAGTGATGTTCCAGAAGATCGGGTCAGTGCCTTATCTTACATTGATATTGACAAAGAAATTGCCACAGAAATGGACAATATAAACCTGAAGGAAATTGTGGACTTGCAGGCTAAAGATGATGAGGATGAGGATGATGCAGATGGACCATTAGACGAGCCGGAGCCCTTAAGTCAAACACAGATATTTAGCTATATAAAAGCTTTGAAGGAATTTGGAAAAGTTAATGAAGAACAAGAGTTTTTTAATAAGGCTACAGACTTAGAAATTTGTTTCAATAATCTCATCAAAAAACCAAAACAAAACAAACCGTGCCGTTAAATGTTTTTATTAAAAAGGGAATTTTATCTATATCTTTGAATAATAAATGCACTTATCTGTACATTAATTTGAATAAGCAGGCACATCATGAAAAATTATGTGGTTTCTTTTCCAGTCTTATAAAAATCTAAAAGAAACATTTTCTGGGCAATTTTGAGGTAGATTTCTTAATAGTGGTAGGAAAGAAGAATGCCCACCATATAAATAAGGCAGGCCCCGTGAGTTCTGGCTCTCCTTAGTGTTGCTAACATTCATTCTGTGGTGGCACTGTTGGGTGGGCATTGGACTGCTAATCGCATGGTCTGTGCTTGGGACCCACCAGCCACTCTGCGGGAGAAAGCAAAGACTGATTGCTCTCGGAAAGATGTTGCTGAGTACTATTGAGCTGGTTCCGACCCATAGATGTGACCTTATGCACAACATAACAAATCACTGCCTGGTCCTGCCCCATCCTCACAATTGTTCCTCTCTATAAAGATGAACACCGTCAGAAACCCGATACAGGGTTGCTGTCAGGCAGAATCCATTAGATTGCACTGGGTTGGGTTTTATTCTGTACATCGAGTGAAGCCTGTGAGAGCCAGAACTTAATGGGACTGCCTCGTTTTTTTATGTTGCACAGTTTTCCGGCTTTGATGGAAGTGCAGTCTTAGCACTTTTCGATCACTGATTTTAATGAACTCTACTAATTTCCATCAAGTCAAAGTTGACTTATAGTGATCCCGTAGGACAGGATAGAACTGTCCTTCAGTTTCCGAGACTAACTGTGGGAATAGAAAGCCGACTTTGTGGATCACAGCACAACATGTAACCACTCCGTCACCAAGGTGCCTGTCACTGATTTTAATGGGAAATATTTGAGTTTTCCTTCTCCCAGGAAGTTTTCCTTTCTGCCGTACCCACGTGGGTCCAGCTTTTGCAGGCTTTGTTATACACGCATACTTTCATATACATCTTTGTACTCTGTAGTGATTTACTATTTACAAACATGAGAATATATTGACTTTACTTTTTGTCTGCTTTTTTCTTAATATATTACAGTGACTGTCCCATTTTAATAAACATATATGTTTAACATATTTGATGATGAATTTTATTTCCTGTTACTTGGTTAACTATAAATTGCAAAAGTGTTTTGCTAATGTAGAGAGCTTCAGTAAGTATTTCTGCATCCTTAATTCTGAGAAATCTCATATCCTTAATTAGCTCTGACAATACATCTTTAAAAGTCCTCTGGTTGGATCAAAGGACATTACAGACTTTAAGGATTTTGACTAATATTGTTAAGTGGCCACCCAGAAATATTACGCTACTTTATGTTTCCATTAGACGTGTGTGTTCGTATTTTTGGAGGTTACCATGCATGTATGCTTCCTTCTTTAGGGCCCTGATATTTTAAAATTAAAAGTACTATGAAGAACATCCTTGGACATTATATTTACAGTATAAAGTCTTAGGGGATTGCTGGGTCAGAGTTTTTAAAAAACTTTCCACGATTCTTTTTATTCTTATGGGATATTTTAAAACAGCTTTTCTTTGAAACTTCACGGTTCCTGATCCATGTCATGATGATATGTGACCTTTTTCCTTTTAATATCTTTTTATCCTGATTTATATGTAAAGTAAATCAAGGAATAGCTGGAACATGGTTTGAAATTTCAGGATAACTATTAGAATACTAAATTGTGTGACTTCCAGGTTTGTTCTGTGAAGGAAGGATAAAGGGTTTTCTTTTCAATTCTAGTTAATGTGTTTTGCATCCATACCATGTGCTTTTATGGTAGGTCTTGTAATGATGTAACAAGTATACAATATGGTACTTAACTTTCAAAAAGCTTAGACTCTTAATAAGAATATCTCTCTGTGTGGCACACATCTTTGAGGGCCTGCTCTG